ACTTCCTTGCTTGGCTGCCTGGGTTCACATCTGAAATAAACCATCTCTGCCCAAGTCCTTATGTCAAGGTCAGCTTTGGAGAGAACCTATAGGAAGACAACCAAGTTATCGATTCAATTTGCCAAACAGCAATTGCTCTAGATACTGGGAATATAACAATAAACAAAGATAGGTAGGGTCTTCGTGAGAGAGGATAGCAAGGAAATATAACTTCTAATTATAATTGTCACCATATTAGTCTCATGTGCATTCTTCATGCCAATTAAAATAAAGAGATTGATTACATAGGTTTGCCTCACTTATTGATATATTGGTGTATAGCTATTTATTTAGCTATATTAAAATTTTTATTTCAAAATGTTTAAGTAATTATTTATGTACATTTATGTCTTCCTTTGTCCTACATTATAAAATTAGACCTTAAGTCCCTCTCAAACTCTCCTTTCCCAATTCCAAGAATAAATCAAGTTTAGGAGTGTTGTAAATGGGCTCAGACCCAGCCTGTTTCTTAGCCCATCTTCCTCCTGTAAATTTGTTGTCATCTGCAGGCTCAATTTTCACCTTAAATTCAGCCAATTAAGATGCAACCAATCCTAATCTTCAGCGAAAGAAATTTAAATAGTTCTTGCCCAGTACTTTGGGATTCAACATCAAGACGCCTCTAACCTTAAGTCACCCTAATCGTAACGAGACTGGTCTTATCCCCGAGACTCGGTGCCCACCATGAATCATCTAAGCACTGTGTTTCTTCATTATTCCTGGCCAGCATCTAATGTATCAAGTGCTTTCAATCACAAGTGACAGAAATCCCAACGCAAATGGCTGCAACGAAAAAGGAATTCATTGGTCCAGACAACTAAAATGTCCAGAGAGATAGTGCTGTCTTTAGTCATCACAAGATCCATGGTTTACTGTATCCTTAGTGCTTTGTCTTCATTTCCCAGCCAATTTCCAGTCTTCCATGTTCACAAGTCATGTCAGCTTTTTCCTCAGTATGGCTCCCCTCATGATACTAGAACTGACAGTAGTTCCAAGAAGAGGAGACTGCAATGCTAGCAGTCTTAGTTAAAGTCCCAACGGTTCACAGTCATTGATCCAGCTTAGGTCATAGACACTACGCTGCTTGACTTAAGCCATCCAGGGCTCACCCCAGGAGCTGGATGAGGTCAACTCCATGCTCATTATCTGGCTGGCTTCCCAGAGGAGACCTATGATAAGAAAAAAGAGAATGAAGGCTGGGCGCCGTGGACAGTTGTCCACTCCACCTACCTCATAGTTCTGTGGCTCAGTGTTTTCTGCCTTGATTCTGGACTTTAGTCTTTTTATCTTAGTTACCTGCCTTCTTACCCATGCTATTTAGCACTGGGTTTTGCCTTGTTCTTTCCAACACCTCTGCTAGAAATCTGGGCACTGAGATCTACTAACTTCACTGAGGTTGAATGTCTGGGCTTCTGACGATAGAGCATCACTTGATTTCTTCTTACTCTACCCCACGAATCTCTGAGGATACCTTCATGAAACCCCAACACTTCATTATTCTTATACCATACCATTTTGACTACCCTAACTTGCTCGTCAGATGGATCCACTCAGCGTCTGTCACCAGGTCTCTTTCATAGGCCAAGTGTCAGAGCTCCCTCCCCCCTCACTCTAATCCACCTGCCGTAGTTTGTCAAGGTGCTGCTGGGCCAGACCCAAGGTATGTTATTTTAAAATAAATAAATGAATGAATTTTTTTTAACCCTTGAAATTATATATTTAGAAAGAGGGAAAATCTAATAAAACACAAATAAGGTATTCAAAATAATTTACAGATATTATTTTGAAAAACACTGATTTAGACTTTTCTAAAAAGAACAGTGGTCATTATAGAGTGCTTTAAGAAGAGTAATTACGTTATTAACTAGTGACATTTTAAGCAAAGTATTCTCAAATAAAGGTATTTATGGTCATGAAACTAGAATGCTACTGAATGACCTTTCAAGGTTCCCTCCAAATATGACAGGGCTTAGAATAGGTTTAAATAATTTGCACATGGCTCATCTGTTTATTTAAGTCCATACTTCCAAAGTGTTTGAGAACAACTTGTTCTTCTTTTTTTTAATCATCTTAAATATCTCATCTGCAGACTCATTTATAACATTAAGCTGCTTTAAAATTCTTTTACCCTGTCTTAGATGGTTCAAAAACAAATTTTACCCTGTGTCCCATATGGTTTATTATAAATTATGAATTAGCCAAAGCCAGAATTACTAACATTTTACAGAACCGGGAACTAGCTCTTGGAACCAGAATTGCAAGTAGCTAAGGCACGTTATGCACTTTCCCGGTCCTGAAGATCGTGTCTCCCATCAAGGTACATATTCCCTTCTGAAATGTCTCTCTTACATCTTTCATCAAAAAAAAAGAAAAGAAAAGAAAAAAGAATTTAAAATAATGCACTATAGTGAGTGACTCAAAACAATGTGATCCTTTCATTTCAGGACCTCTGTGTTGCTCACATTAATGATTGTTAAAACGCTAATTAAACTAGTTTAGCAAGTTTGTGATTGCACATTTATTCTGGTTTCTTTTTAATGGGATATATCTGTATCAAGAAGAAGATGTTGCCTTACAGAAGTGGAATTTCAGATCTCAAAAAGATCGTGAAGATCTTCAAAAGTAACCATATATCTGAATGATTTTCAAGGGTATTTCTAAAAAGTTTAATTATTTCGCCACTGAAATGTGCATATAAACGTTCTCTATTATCTCCTGACGATAAAATCTGTTTCTCTTACTAAGGAAAAGGTAGTCTTATCTGATGATCAGATAAAGGCCTGTTATATTTTCCAGTCTGAGAAGTAAATAAAAGAATGACTATAATGTCGACCTCCTTTATTGTTGGCTGAAAAGGTACTCTTGTAGTTTTGCAGTAATTTTTTCTGTCAGATGACGTGATATTTTCTAAGGAAATATAATTTTTCATTATTTGGCAAACAATCTTTTTTTGCTTCCCCAAACATTTTCAATCCTAAGTGGAAATATTAATGCATTTATTGTTTTCCACAGCATGAAGCAGAATAAGGTATAGAATTACTATATGTTTCTTTAAATTTCAATATTTGCTTTAACCACTCTAAATGATAAAATAAATATTGAAAAAAATGTTTATCTGACCTCTTAGGTTTTTTTCATTACTACCTAGCAATGCCATGTCACCTCCTCTGAGAAGTCTTACTGGATATAGGCTCCCTTAATTTGTTGCCTTACCTCTGTGCTCTCCTGATATCTTGGACTCATCTCTGTCATCATATTTATCCCATTGTATTATAACTAGATGCTTATGTGTCTATCTCCAACCAACTTTTAAGGGAAGGATCATTTTACTGACATCCGTGCCAATGAGGTACTGTTAATACTGAATATACAGATATCAATAAGATATGGTAGCTGCACCCTGGGAAGTCACATCCTTATAATCTGGCTTCTGTGCCCTCCCTGCTACTCACGAAAATTGCAAATTAACAACCATGGCTTACATGAGGACTTTAGGTATGTATTCTTTGACTCACATGATATTTTAGAAAAATTTGAACCAACAATAAAAGGTGAGTGATTTCATGCAGTTCTCAGGATTTCAGCTACTCTTCAGAAATCTAAATGTCTGGAAGCACTTGGCCCGATTTCTCATGTGGAATTACTCAACTGCTCCTGAGCAATAGTAATTCCTTTATACCGTGTGTGTACTCTCCAATTTACCTCAGTCCCTACTGCTCCCTTTCATCTGCCTAATACCAAGACCAAGATTCAGTTGCCATTTATATTTGCACTGATGTTCTTTTGGTATAGAAATATTTTTCTATACCCGTGGGTTTTTTTTTTAATCGAAAGAAGAACACCAAAGACATCCAGAGAACCATAGGATTTTACAAACTACACTAACCAGCTTTATTTACCTGCTCATCTGAACTATAATCTTCTGATTAATTCATTTCATACACTTAAATATGTGCTCCTGGATCTAACTGGTTCTCCATCTCCACTCTCTCCCCCATTCTAACCCATCCTATGTGCCCTTATGGCGATATTACTCTTTTCTAGGATCTTCAATAGTAGTAGTACAATTAGTAGAAGTAGTAGTAACACTGATAATAGTTATTATCTAGTGAATGCTAATGCCAACTAGGTGTCCCCCACTGTTCTATGTACTTTGCTTTTATTAACATTTAATTCTTATGTCAACCATGTGAAGCAGGTGTTATTATTACCGACTCTTCATGGATTCTGACTCATTCCAGCAGACACAACTCAATAGTGCCTCACTTTACGCCTGCACCACATACCTCTCCTGTCCTGCCCGAGGCTTCCCTCTGCTTGCTGATGCTGTGGACCCTAGGCAGCCATATGGTGCAACTTGGAAGAGCAGAGAATCAATGTCCAACCAGGCAAACCCTTGACCGTTAGGACACATCTCATTGTGTCCATCCTGCCTTTGCTGTCTCCCTCCCCTTTCCCTCATACCCAGCCCTAGGACTGCACTCTCTCTTAGGGTCGCAGTGCAGTCTCCTCTGCCTCAAGCTCTGCTTTCTGGGAAACCCAGACTGAGAGATTCTTTTGTACTTCCCCCTGCCTTTTTTTTTTTTTTTTTTACTTAAATTATTCATATTACCTTCAAAGACTACCTTATCATACTACTCATTTTTTGGTTGCAAGTGATAGAAAAACAAACTTGAACTAAGTTACCAAAGAAATTGGAAGGATGGAAGGATTTTGGAGTATTTCCCATAGCAGGAGGGAGGAAAAAGCTAGAATTGGGCCTCATGAAAACTGGAAATAACTCTCTCTCTTTTTCTCTATTTCTCTCTCTCATTCTCATTCTCACCTCTGCTCTTATTGGCATATCAGCTTCATCTTCTCTAGTATGGTCTAGTTTCTTCCACATCATGGCAGACATGGTAGATAAGAGTTCTCAGTACACATTCTCCACAGCTCCTACCCACCAAGTGTGATTGCTTCTGTTCCTTAAAATTCAGTCTGATAATTCTCAAGAGAAGACTCTAACTGACCTGGCTTGCAATGGGTCAGTGAGGAAGGGAAGGAAAGAAGCTCACAGAGCACTGATCAGAAGGGGAAACCTTACAGGACAGGATTCTACTATGGACAAGGTCTGTAAGGCCCAACCCCAATGTTACTTCCTGCATGAATGTCCTCTGCTTCTGGAAGGCATCATGTGATCATTAAAAGAGCCGCATGCATCCAGCACAAAGTGACAGCTATGAATTGTTCACATGCGTACCTTTCTGAGCCTCAGTTTCATCATCTGTGAGGTAGGTATAATAATGTCCATCTTTGTGAGAGAAATAAATTTCAAAGTGCCTAGCATGCAATAGGCATTCAACAAATTCCATCAGCCCAAAGTAATATCTCCCTTGAACATGTACACAACATAACACACCTTTATATCACTATAGCTTTGTCACCACTTGCTTCTGCATGTTTTATCTCCCCTGTTTGATCCACTCTTCCCTGAGGGCCAGGAGTGTCTCATTCCTCTTCTGAGCTATGTTAGCCCTTGTACATTATCCAGCACATTGGAGTCAAAGAATAAACATTTGGCAAAAGGGTAACTTCAACTGCATTCAATAAGATGATCTGGTTTTTATTTGTGGATTTTTACCACTTTAGAAAATGATTAGTTCTTCCTCAGGGTCAAGCAAAAGTGAGCTTTTTCCCAACTGTTTTATGGGGGAAAGCTTTTCCTTCCTCTCTCAAAATGTACCAAATACCTTTTGTGTAGCAAGTACTGTTGGACGTACTAAGGATTGAAAACTGAATGAGACCATTTCTGCCCTCGAAGAGTTGAGTATTAACTCACTGGTGTAGTTATTTAATTTTCAGATGTATATTTCTATATACTTAACTCCACGTGTTCCTCATAAGCTGAAAAAATAAACATCTTTAAAGTTGGCTCCTTCCTTATTCTATATTGCCTTCAAATCCACGCCCATGATACAAGTGGAAACTGTTCATGTGTATTTGATTACGTGAAAATATGTATTTCCTTCTATTAATTACAGTGACTCTAAAATTTATAAACTACTTCCTTCTCCACCCCATTTGCCATATTCTCACAATATTAGTTACACATCCTTGCTTTAACATAGCACAGAAATATTGGAGATAATATTTATAAATATTATGTGGTATAAATATGTGGGTTCAGTCACATTAATTTTTAGGGTTTTATGTATTAAACTTATTTCTCAAAATTTTAAGAAGATTTGTTCTTATGGACAATGCAGAGAACTCATTTTAAGTGAAGAATGGCAAAGTTAAGTCTTTCAGTCAAACTAAAAGAAACAGGTTATTCTGTTATAGCCAATTTCACTCTTTAAGGCTTAAATCATGTTTTCTTTGACTATTGCAATGGATTCACTGCAATTTAGCCAGTTCTGTTTAATTGGAGGCACTGGATGAGATAAAGAACCTCATCCACTCTGAAGACCTTAAGCCAAATGACCCTCACTTCACTCACCAAGATGTAGATCCTGCTTGAAGCTGGGAACACCAAGCCAATCTCTTTTTTGTGTCTCCTTTCTTATATCAGGATGGCCCTTTATCATTTGTGATAAACAGAACCATTCCAAACATCTGGTCTGGACATCACTGGCATCCCCTGAACCTGTCAACTGCAAAGGATCCCACCTAGAAACATGTACCTAGAGCTGGAAGAAGCCATGGAGATTAAGAGATCCAGAGCCTTCACTTTGCAGATAAGGACAAAGCTCTGGTAAGACGAACATTGAAATGAATTGAGTGACCTGCCCGAATGTACATACAAATCAGTGAAGGAGCCTGGATGAAAGACCACATGACCTGTGTTAGGAAGAGGACTTACTACCCTCTAAGGGCCAGCCCTCTTTGGTTCACTATTACTCCCCACGCAAGACAAGATTCTGAAATGAAGGGAAAATATCTCGGGGTCTTGGTCCTGCTCTTCTCTGAGGGTTTTCACGCAGCTCCACACCCAAGCAGGCCAGCTTTTCCAGGTAGTGACAAAGATTCACATTCTTTTCCAACATCAAAACACCTTCCTTCTCTAGTCTTCCCAGCCGCATTGGTCAAACCAACCCTTCCTTCACTGTACATCATTGATTTCGTCCTTGCAGGGGGGTTTGCTTGCTGTTAGCCCTGAGGAAGGAATCTAATGATAGCACCAGGACAAGATCAGGGTCAGGCCTTGGCTGCAGCTTTACAACTTCTGTAAAATGAATTTTAGCTGGGGGCTGCTCCAGAAGTTTTACGTAAGAGGAATTCAGAGGAGCCATTCTGGTTGAAAGGGGGTACTGTGGGGCTTTTCCTAGCAAACCCGGTTTTTACCTAGATTTTACAGGAAGTTTACTTGGAGTGGCTTTGGGGACAGTGACTGAAGCCAAGCCAAGCCACCCCTTGGATGCATCAACTGATCATAGTACTTTTCAAAACTGGTAGTACTTGGTCATAGGAGCTGATCCAAAATCTTATCTCACTTTTCTCACAAATTCCTGGCTTCCCAATCCCACTTGTGGTTGTCTTAACCTTTTCCTGAGGTAAAAAACAGTCAGCATAAGCCATGAGGACTGGCCTAAAACACTCTATATACTTTTTTTTTTTTGCAGTACGCGGGCCTCTCACTGTTGTCGCCTCTCCCGTTGCGGAGCACAGGCTCCGGACGCACAGGCTCAGCGGCCACGGCTCACGGGCCCAGCCGCTCCGCGGCATGTGGGATCTTCCCGGACCGGGGCACGAACCCGTGTCCCCTGCATCGGCAGGCGGACTCTCAACCACTGCGCCACCAGGGAAGCCCCATATTTAAGCTTTTACATAGTTTATAAGTTCCTGAAGACTCATGCACGTTTTTCCACATTTTATTAAATTGTATTATATATTTTAGATATCCGTAGTTGATAAACCAGCAATTTAAAATAGCCATTAAGCCCTCCCTGTAGCTCCATTGCCCAGCAGCACTCTGGAGAGTTTTGCAAAAACATCTCTCTCACCATAGTTTGTAAACTTGATTTGATGGATGCACAGCAATATCTCATCTATTTGGCCTCCAGTCCAGATCTCAAGTTTGCAAGAAAAGGGCTAGCACACGTCTAGCTTTAATGTCAGCTCCCCGCACCCCGAGCTGTCCCTCTGACTCCCGTTCCCCTTTAATTCTTAAATCCTTTCAAAGCCTTTCTCATCTCAGCTCTTAACGCTTCATTACCACTAGGACTACACTGAGTCTCCTTTTCTGGTTATTTAACAGGTGGTGTGAAGAATTACAAGGGCTGAGGGTTCTCACTCCTCCACCTAGGGTAGCTAGTACCTGGATCATCTTCATCCCTTCACAGCCATCATGGTACACTGACCATCATCCTCTCATACACCAAGAACCAACTAGCCTTTCTCCAAAATTCGCTGACCTTCGAATTTTCAGAGCTTTATGATTTAGAAGCATTAGATCTGGAGTCAGACAGTTGGGTTCAACTCCTGACTTACAACATAGCTGCCATATGACCTTGGGCAAGTTAGCCTCTCCTAACATTTGTTCCTCACTTGTAACATGAGGATGATGAAAACTAATATTGACGCCAAAAGGCTGTTTTGAGGATTGAATGAAATAATATATGTAAAGCACTTAAAATACAGTGTACAAGATAAGCCCTTAAACCTACTACTGTTACCACCACCCCCCTTTTAGGAAACATATGACAGTTATAGATTCAGAAGATTCGCAAATGGAAGAAACTGGAAAATCAACTAGTTCAGGGCTAAAAATATTCGAATACCTACAGAGCCCAGATAGGCAATATGATTGCTGTGGTGGAAGCAAACTTGAGGGATGGAAGGACAGAAAGGAGGTGACCTAGCTAGGGGGACAGCGCTTCTCAAGGTGAAGCACATTGCTGTCACGTGAGAGCAGGAGCCTAGTGTTACCAGATCTTCCAGTTTTTCACGAAAAGCCAGAAATCCAGATTTGTGTGTAATCCCAATGTGCAAATGTTGATAGATGTAATTCATATTTTTATAAAATGCTTTATTGTTTTAATTTTAAAAAAACAATAAAGCATAGTAGCTTCTACTTCAGAGCCTCTAATCTAATCAAATTTCATTTGAAAACTGAGAAGACAGGATTAAGAGTTGAAGTGTCATACCAAAAGGCACACACAACTAATAAATGGCAAAACCCTGATGAAGCTCACATCTCTCATGCTGTAGTCCAGGGATCTTTAACATCCTTTGATTTTTAACATAAAGGAGACACTTTTTATCCTCCTTATATCTATGGATAACCTGTCACTAGATGCTGTTATTCTGTACTTTCTGGTCCATTCTCACGGCCACCATGCGTCCTGGGCCCCCATTGTCTCATAATCTCCTCACTAGAGGCTCATCTGATCTGATCTACCCTGTCTGTTTGCTAAAATCTAAATGACCTTTATATTTGATCACACCCCTGCTCTAAGTCCTTCAAAAATTCTGCATCAGAGCCAAGTGCACTGGTCTTTTAGTCATGCAGTCTCAAACTGATTTCCTTTTGCTGACCTGCATCCTGGTTCCTCCATGAACAAGATGTGTCACCTTGGGTGAGTGAGTCACTCTACATCAGCATTCCTCAAAGTAAGATAAAAACAATGGGAGGGTATAATAATAGCACTCACCTCAGCGTTGCTAATGGATATTGAATAAGTTAACCCATGTAAAGTGCTTCATGTATAGCAAGCGCTGTAAAATGCTGGCCTTTTATGAGTGTACCCGTGTTCTCTCTCCTACCCACTAGAGTCTAAGTGTCTTTAGAACAGAATCTAAGTCTAACTGGTATATGCTCTTCCCACCCAAATATTAAGCACATATTATGTACTCATTAAATATTTGTTCACAAAAAGAGTAACTGAATACACAAGTAATTTAAGAATCTGTATAATCAAATAAACATAAACATGAACCAGAAGTGGAGCAGAAATGAACAGTAGTGAGTGGACTCAAGGTCTCTTGGGTTCCAGGGACAGAAGCGGACAGACACTATAGGATTTTGTCTCCTTCCAGGTAAAGGCAATTTTAGAAGTTTCACGTAAGTGACGTGTTGGGGAGGCAGCAACCAGAACCAGGTTTACTGCTTGAATTAGTGCCATGGATGGGGTCCCCTTATTTGTAAAAGGAGATCTTAAGATTTGTCCCTGTGCCTAAGATTACAACTTAGCTTGGACCAGAGACGTGAGAACCCAGTCACAGCCTCATGGCTGGGAACTGAACAGCCAGTGGCTATTCATGTGGCTGGACCTTTGGTATCCTCAATAGCGCTGAAGGGTAGGAGTCCCAAACCACCATTATTAAACATGGTTCTGGATCATGGGCACAGGGGAAGCCACTGGAGGTTTTAAACAGCAGAATGCCATCCTCTGACCCATATTTGAAGATTTTTTTTCCTTTGTCTTTTGTTTTCAAAAGTTTAATTATGATGTGTCTTAGAGTGGATTTTTTTGCATTTATCCATTTGACTCATCTTGAATCTTTAAGTTCATATCTTTTGCCAATTTTGGGAAGTTTTTAACCATTATTTCTTCTGATACTTTTCAGTCCCGCTCTCTCTCTCCTCTCCTTCTGGGACACCAGTGATCTAAATATTAGTTTTTTTCTTATTATCTCACAGGTCTCTGAGACTGTTCATTTATCTTTTCAGTCTATTTCCTCTCTGATGTACAGATTGGATAAGTTCTACTAATCTGTCCTCAGTTTACTGGTTTTTATCCTCTGCCATCTCCAGTCTACTATTGAGCCAATCTATAGGGTTTTATATTTCAGTTATTGTATTCTTCCATCTATAATTTCCATCTGGTTCTTTTTTTGTGACTTCTGTTTCTTTGCTGTTAATTTCTATTTTTCACTTGTTTCAAAAGAATTTGTTATTGTTTGTTGAGACATTTTGTGACAGCTCTTTTAAAATCTGTGTCAGATCATCCCAACGTCAAATTCATGTTTGTGTTCACATCTGTTGATTTCCTATTCTCATTCAAGTTATGATTTGTTGTTATGACACGTGATTTTCATTTTCCATTGAATCCTAGACATTTTGGATATTATTAGACTCCGGATCCTTTTTAATCTTCTTTTTTAGCAAAAAGTCTCCCTGTTGAGATGTAGCACAAGGGCTGAGTGGTTCCACATGCTTACCTTTCCTCTGGGCCCTGCCAAAAACACCCCCAGAAAAGTAGCATGCCGACTCACACTGCTTTATTGTAGATGGGCTGGCAGGGAGTTCAGCTTCTCCTCAAACCTGTTGACACCTTCCTCTTGAAACTGGAGGACCAACTATTCTGTCTCATTGTATCTGAGTGGGTGGCGTAAGCTCAGCTCCCTCCTGGGCTCTGCTGACCTCAGAGAAGGGGGAATCACGGTGCAAAGTCACATACTTTGTTGATGCAGAATCTGGGCAGAAGCTCTGCTTCCCACTGAGCCTGCGGATACCTGGGTGGGGGATCATGAAGTACTGATCCATTCAGTCTCATTGCCAGATGGGAGTGGAGGCTTGGCTTGCCACTGGACCTCCCTGATGCTACCCTGGCAGGAGAATGGGAGCAATGTCTGCTTCCATTGGAAAGATCAGCTCCTCATTCAGCCCAGCCAACACCACCCAGGCAGGGGCATCAGAGCATCAACTGCTTCCACTGAGCTGGAGATGAAAGATCAGCTCCCACTCAGTCTCACCGACTTCACCCCAACAGGCAAGAGAAGCAGAGCACCACTATCTTCTTCCATGGGATT